GTGTAATGTAATATGATTGTATTGATTTTGAACTGCAATCAAATTGCATCTCTTTACTGTAATGTAATTGCATTACAATATTACATTACAGTAGTTTGCTGCAAAACAAACACTGTAATGTAATTTAATTGGACGCATTGTAGAAAATGTGTTTTTATTTCTTTCATACGAAACGCTATCTTAATGTATGTATGGTGTATTACTGGTAAACTATTTATGTTCACTTAATGGGGGAAGCATGCAATGCAGGTTATTCAGTCATGGTATGTTATGGGACGTTTGGGTGCCTTTAATTCTTCTAATTTGCAGGTTTGACCATAGTTCTTTTTGCTCCATATTTTTTTTTCACTTCACCTCTTGTTGCTATGCAAGAGAAATTAAGCATGTTAATTTCATATTGATGACAGTTGGCGAATGCATCAATGGAGTATGATCCCCTCTACGATGAGGAAAAGGGTTTTAAAGTGATGCCATCATCATTCCATGATATCAGTGATGTTGAGTTTCAGGACAACTGGGGCCGTGTTTGGTATGTTTTTCTAGTCTCATATGCACATTTCTTTTAATTATCTTTTAATCTATTTTCTTGCTGCTTTTTCTCATGGAAAGTAAATGACTTAAGTTATACGTTCACAATACAGGGTTGACCTTGGTACTTCTGATTTTTTTTCCATTGATGTCCTCCTCAACTGCTTGACGGTATTGAGTGCAGAGTAAGCTATACTAATATGTAAAAGGATAACAAGAAACAATTTTGTCATCAAAATCCATTGTGAATATATTTACATTTTTCAGTTGTCAAGCTCTTGACTAACACAAAATTTTCATTTTGTTATGCTTTCTCTCCCCCTACCCTTTTTTATGGCAGTTATTTGGGCATTCAACAGATAGTATTCGGTGGTCGTTGCATGGGTGATTGGGAAGAGGGTATGACAAACCCTGACTATGGCTACAAGTACTTCAAAATCTGAACCAAAGGTCGATGCAAATGCTATAGAAATCTAGAAGGCTTCATGTGTCTTTGGTTGCTTATATACTGATAGAGACTAGAGATGGCTATTGAAAGGCATCCTTGCTGTTGCTAAATACCTGAAATATGAGATATCAAAATCATGAATCTTATCTTTTTTTCCTTTACTTTTTTTTTCCTTCCTTTAATATTTGAAGGTGATTCCGTGGCGCCATGAATAATTGAAGATCAATGGGAAGATATTTGATGAGTGTTGGACTGCAAGGTGTTGGCGCAAATGGGATTTAGATGAAATTTAAATAATCGGCAAAATTGACTTCAAGATAAATCTTTCAATAAACGTTATCTTAAAACTTATTTCATTTTCATCACTCGGTCAAATGAGATTTAAATGAAATTTAAATAATCGGTAAAATTGACTTCAAGATAAATCTTTCAATAAACGTTATCTTGAAACTTATTTTATTTTCATCACTCGGTATAATGAATGGAATAGAATAAGAATCTTTATCTTTGTCATCTTGTTTATGACTTCATTTTGGTTATAGTAATTTTTTTTTATTCAAAAATAATTACCAAGGTCCTCAAGAGATATTTTTTTTATATATTTTAAAATTTTTTTTAATATCTCTCCATGATGAGAAGTATGTCAATTATAGAAGACGTAGCAAACCTTATCTATATCAAGATCATATATGAATATAACAAAATCTTGCTTTCCAGCTAATATATATTTTCCATGCATATCAAGTAAGGAAAAAGAACTTATCTTATAATATGATGAGAAACCATTTTGTCATTTTCCTTGTTATCATTAAATCGATCCATCTTTGGCTAATGAATAAAGTTTTTTCTGTCAAAACAGTATAACTTGACGATTTTGGTATATTTTTTTTAGTAAAGTCATTTTGAATTTCAATTTTTCAAAAAATAAGTTTTAAAATTGTTAGTGCAAATAAGGTTTAGATGGAATTCAAATAACTGGCAACATTGACTTCAAGGCGAGCCTTTAATAAACGTTATCTTTACAATTTATTTCGTCCCCACCACTTAATACATAAAAGAGAAATAATGTAAATAACCTTTAAGATACAATAAAGTTTACGTTTAATTTCATCTTTATACTTTACAAAAATAGACTGTTAGATATACTCAAAGTTTTGTAAAGTTGTTCGATCTTAGAGTTTATTTTTTATAACAAGTAGGTTATAAGGAATTTGGATTCTTTTGATAAATTATAGGAACTCAAGTATTTTATATTTATTTTCAATAACACTTTTATTATTCTTGATTTTTCTACTCTTGTTTTATTTGTTTTGGATGTGGCTAATAGTAAGTCCTTTATATAGGTTTGCAAATGTTTTTTCTTCAAGGATACAATCTTTTCATTAAAGTATCTCTTTATCTTAAAAATATATTTGCATTTCGTAAGATATAATCCTTAAATAAAGGTATTGTTTTAATAATCACCTTATAAAATGATAATTATTCATTTCATAAAATATAATCTTTTAAGCTATAATATGAAAAAATAACTTTTCGTATCCAAACTTTTGAGTTATGATTTTTTTTTTCAATTGATTCATATCTTTTTGATTCAAAGATGCTTTTCTAATTTGTCATTTTACTAAAAGACATAATTATTTATATGAAAAATCCACCTATAATCCAATAATCATACTATGTCACTCTTTATAATATAACTTTTGAATAAAGATAAATTTTCATTATGTTATATAATTTTTTATTTTAAAAACACAACAATGAACCTCATATTTATAATTTTAAATATATATTAAATTGATTATTTTATTGATATATAACTCAAACCCCATCGATTCATTCTTAATGAACCCGCAATTACCGGTAAAACAAAGCCGTTTTGTTGCCTTCTTAATTATAAGAGCTTAACTAGAAATAGGCTATGGATCCGAGGTGCACCTACATCAGTATCCATTATTAATTTCTAAACCAACCTCGCCTAAACTCGGTTCAAGAAAAGTCCAACTCTAAGATTTATCTCTGACGCTCTACGTGTTTGACTGCCAAGGATATAGAGAATTTAAAGCCTACCAGCTTGGGTTCAGTCAGTGCTGCGATGTTGGACAATTGATTTTCCTGCAACTTCTCCATTACTAAATCAAACATTCAATAATTTTACTCAACAGGCTCAGTGTTTAGTATATACTGCAACTCAGTGAATTCGCAATAAAAACCTGCAACAGCGACTAGGGTTAAGAATAATGGTTTTATAAGGAGATGAGGTGCTGGGATATAGTTTAGAACTGATGAGACATGAAGAAGTTGAAGTCATGGTGCTGGAATTGAAGTTGTTTCAACCAGTGACGTGCAGCGGCTTGTTTACAGATAATACTGTCCTGATCTGATGTTCCAGGGTTGATCCAGAGTGCTCCAGACATCTTGTAAGCCACCACTGCAAAGGGAGGAAGTGAAATTTCTCCCTTCCTGCTGTTTCTTATGTCTTCTCCTAAACAAACCATCATGTCTTGAAGTTTCTCCTTCTCTAACATGATATTTTTGGAACGTGATTTGTTAGAGGTTATTAATTAAAAAGCTATTAGGTTCAATTCAATAATAATATTTAATACTAAATTCAAAAAAGTTTCATTTTATTTTTCTTAATTGCATATTCCTATCTCTTTTTAAGATGTATTTACAAATTAATGTTCCTAGTAGTGACTAAAAAATTAAAATCTAAACTATATCATAATTAAATAATGGATTGATGGTGCGCCATAATTAAATTTTGACATGCAATTTTTCAATTATGTAACTAATCAATTTTTTAATGGACGAATAAGCTTTTCAAACATAGATTAATTGCTTAAACATGTAGAGAAATTAAAATATATAATATAATAATTATTTATAAAATATGCTATACATTAAAAATTTTATTATTATATTTATTTACTTCAATTTTATATTTTTAATATTAAAAAATAAAAAAAATTGATATACAAATTATTATATTTACATATTAAATCATTCATGTGCCATGCACATACAACAACTATAATAAAAAAACAAAAAATCTTAACTGCAAAATCTTTATTTGAAACAAAATATAGAGAAAATGTCAATATCTAAAAACTTGAAACTTAGATCTCTAGAATTAAAAGTATTAAATATAGCAAGATTGTATATCTTAGTTATTATTTTGCTATTAATTATTCAAAGAACTTATATATAGAATGAAAATGAATAAATAACAATAATAGAAAGGACTATCAAGTATATATTCAAAATCATATTAAGAATTTAACAATTTAATAATTGTGCATATGGTTGATTGTAACATTTGCAAAATAGTTTAAATGAAGATAACAAGCAGATTCGAGAAGTGTACCTCGAGATAAAGATGACAAGGCATGATAGGTAAGGAAACAAGCGGAGAGTTCGGTAACGTTAATTGTCATTGGAATTTGATACAGAGGATACCTAATAATTAAAACACGAAAAATCATTTTTTGAATTTTCTTTCTTTATGTCTCGAACAAGTAAGAAATAAAACGAAATACATAAGGACAACGAAAAATCAAACCTACCAAGCTATTGCCACCCAGCTACAAGGTGAAAGATCTGTGCTGCAAAACTCTAGCAAACTTGGATAAGTTTCGGCCAACTCATTGATCTGTTCAAACAGCTCAATAATAAACTAAAATAATCGGTTTATTGAAAATTTCATAGTTTTTCAGTAAATATGAATTCACAAAAAATTAAAAAAAATTTAATTTAATCAATTACATATAATTCACATGTTTAAAAATACGTGCACTTATATATCCATGGAACGAAAATGCACATATAAAAATTGATGAATAAATTTTTACCAACCTTTTCTTTAAATGGAACTCTAAAATGAGGACTGCATGTCTCGTTGTATTGGCAATATAAGTAGTGACACTGATTTGTTGTTTCACCTGAACTAAATTGAAATGTTGTAGAATCGTCCCAAGTAATATCCAGGCTCAAACATGAGCTATTGCTTGAGGGCATGTTATCATTATGAGCAGAGTTTTTTTCAAGATTTGCTTCCTTCTCCAACTCCCTACGTGTAACTTTTTATCAGTAAATTGGAAAACTTAAGATATTCAAATTCTAGAAGTGAAGAAAAAAATATATATATTTACCCAAATTTCTCATCAGTTTGATCGGGTAGAGACTTGGATGAGGGAAACGGTTTGCTAGTGTATATTTGCAAAGCTGATAAGGAAGGTGAATAGTACTGCACTACACGGTCGCCATTGTTCAACACAATTGGGACACCAACGCCATAGGCACTCCACGCATTATAAGAGTGCCAAAGGTCACTTAAAGCGAACCCTTCAACTGTATCCCTCTCATGGAATTGCAAGAAGGCATTGGAAGTTTGAACACAATTCTGAAAAGTAATTAGATAGAAAAAAAGGCAGAGAGACAAAATAAAGCTTAAAGCCCACAGTTTAAGCGTTGGGGGAAACCTTGTATTGATCCAAAAGTCAAAAAAAAGGAAACGCAAGGAAATGAAAGGGAATTACCTTCCTAGGAAGCATTCGGGTGGGAACAGAGGGAGTAATGCAATCAAGACAACATTGAAGATTGGAGTGGTTTGAACCATATGGCATCGGCAAGTCCCAGGGAGAGAATGACATGATCGATTCTTACCGTGGGCTTTCCCTGAAAAAGAAGGTCACTAAAGGCTTTGGACCTGGACTTGCAAGGGATTAGAGCAAAACATCAAGGGATTAGAACAAAACATGGTCAATCAGTTTTTCTGGGTCTCTGACTCTCTCCTAAAGTACCAAAAAAAAAAAATTGTTTGAAAGTAGATATGGGGGGAGACCACTGAAGGTATTGGACTGGATATTATACTAATGGAATTTAAGACACCATAATTAATTCTGGCACTGTGGTTTCCCCATTTGGCAAATGACAACCCATTCACATTGATTTCAGTATCCGCTGGTTAGCCTCTATTTTCTTCCAAACACCCAAATCTCCTTTCCTATTTTTGCCCCACACTCCATTGTATTCAGTCACTTCTGTTTTCCATGCATTAATCACTGAATCAAGGGTCTCCTTGTTTACCTATGTTCAAAGTGGAATCGAGCTTTTATGAATGCGAACAAAAGTTGAGTTATATGAGGAGAATCGAAGCTTGATTGTTTTTAAATTTGGAAGTCGACGATCCGACCTTTTTCAATTATCCTTTTTGCGAGAGTCAAGAGACAAGCAAACTTGAATTA